GTCAACTAAGTCAAATAATAATTTGTAGATCAATTTTGATGATCTTATAATAATGTTAATTTTACAGCTAACAACGTTTCATGTTAGTATTAGATTCTTTTTGTGGTTATACAACAAATCCTGTTAAAATCAGTTGGTAGAAAAGAATACAAATATTGCTATAATTCCAGGTAGTTGTATATCCAAATTGCAATCATTAGATGTTGCAATTAACAAAAACTTTAAATCTAAGGTAGAATTGCAAATATATTTAATTTATTTTTAATATGTATAATTATATTTCATATTTATTTATAATTTGCAGATTAAAGATTGATACAATGATTGGATGTTATTTAAAAACCTTCTTATTCAACAGTTGCAACATGGGTTAAAGAATCATGAGATGAAGTTAATGAAAATATTATTTGAAATTCCTTTAAATGTTGTGAAATTTCAACAAAACCTGATGGCTCAGAAGATGATTGCTTATTTGATTATAATATGTTATTAATGAAAAAGACAGTGAAGAAAGTGAAGTACGAAACAAATATGAATATCAAGGATCAACTGATGAAGAATAACGTTGTATGTTAAAAAATTTAAGTACATTATAAAGGATATTAATAAAATAGCTAATAAAATAATTATTTTGGATATTATACATTATTACATATTTTTCCTAATATTATACCCGGGTATTTTACATAGTTTGAAGTTACATTTCCGTCTAAAATATCCGGGTATTTTAAAAACCGAAAAAAAATTTAAGTAGGGTATTAAATTAGTAACCCCCCCCCCCCCCACGCTAAACGGTCCAGTTCTAGAGAAGATTTTTATTTTACTGGCGTTACATTTTACTTTCTAATGATAATTTATTAATTGAATATTTATTAAAAATATCTTTTAACTTATGGGGAATCCAGAATTTTAATTTTTGAAACTTAGGACCCGGTCCTAAGGACCGGTCCCACCTTGGCGGTCTCATGAAAATTGTCGATTTCAAAGTTCATATTACTTTTAAAGGTTATTCTTATAACAATTTTTATCAAGACTTACTTATTATAGATAAGCGATTAGACTTTTCTATAACTCATAATTTCTAAGTTTGTTCACAATCATTGGGACCGTTTAACATCCCTAGAATATCTGCTTATAATATTTATTAAATTTTAAATGATTAAACCTTATTCTTATTGTCCTCGTAGTTTTTTAAAATAAACCCAAATCATTTAGTTTCTTTCTAATTTCATCTTGGTAGTTTTCGTTACTACAGTCACATTTTTGTGATCAGACATAGCCCAAGAGTTAGTCTATGTTACTCAGAAAAGTTTGTAAAAATATATATATATCCCCTCACCCTCCAAAAATATTTTGCTTTTATTTTTTATTTCGAAACATGTCTTTGTATTCTTTGTATGATCTTCTTTTTTATGAAGTAATTGTTATTGTTGTCGTGCTACTTGCGATATCTTTGGATTATACTCCTGTTATAAGGTCTACTGATTCCGGAGGAGGAATTGGTTACGTACATTCCTTTTAACAGCTAAAAGATATTGTCTAGTCTTTATCGTCTTTATCGTCTTCATCCATTATTCTTGAGCCATGATCAAAGTGTCTTTTTCAATAAAATCTGAGCGAAATTGAAATAAGTAAATGGTTAGAAAAGTTTTCTCTCAGCTTTACTCACGTTCTTAAAAATAAAGACTTCGGGTGGGTAAGTGATGGCAACTTGTTTAATTGATTTTTTCGGATTCAGTATGATCTGCTTTTTTGTTAGATAATTAGCTACGGGCACAGCAAATATTTTGGGATGTTGGCTTTCTTTGAGATATGATTTAGGTTTTTTTGATCGATTAAAAAATTATAATAATGCGAAAAAGTTCATTGTGACAAAATGCCAGATTAACAGCAGATTTCTGGGAATTTTATCAAAAAATAAAATTTTTTTCGTAAATTTTTTTTTTTTTTGATTTTAGACGTTAGTTAAAAAGCATGGTACTTACAGTCCTTCCTTTCTTTATTTAACAATTTTATTAAAATAGTAAATGAAATCATTTATATTAAATTGTTTTTTGAAAGGTGAAATACGTGCTCTTTGAAACTGCTTTTGGATATGCGTTATTTGAACGGTTGCAAAGTGAGGAAATAGGAGAACAAATTCAAGAGTCCGTTGAAGATTTGGTAAAGTTTGGGGAAATTGTAAAACTTAAAGTCTTTGCACCCTTCAAAAATGCTATTTACGCTTTAGAAAATGCAAATGATATATCCGAAGTTTTTTTTTTTTTTTTTTTTTTTTATACAGGTGGAATTTATTTTTATACAATATTTTAAATTAACCTTTTTTTATGAATTTTAGGTGTTGTGAACGATCATCTCAAGGAATTTTCGGAAATGAACCTTCCAAAACCCGGGAAAAAGAGTAGTAATATGGTTTAGGTGTCGTAGATAAAAGTTTAGCTGGTTCTATTCAATCAAAATTAGGGTATGAGTGTGGCATTCGACTACATTCAGATAAGTTGTTGAGTCAGGTGAAAGATAGCGAACTTGAGAAAGGTCAGCTTGGATTGGGTCATAGCTATTCTAGAGCCAAAGTCAAATTCTATGTTAATCGTGCAGACAATATGGTCATCCAATCCTTGTTAGATTAGCTCGATAAAGATGTGAATACATTTTCTATGCCGTCAGGTAATAATTTTTTGAAATTAAAAAAAATTTCGAAATCAACATATATTATTAAACTATCATTCTTATTAGGGAATGGTATTCGTGGCATTTTTCCAGAACTCATTAAAATTGTAAGTGATAATTATCAATATGCCAAACTTGCCAAATTTATCAAAAACAAGAGTGATCTAACCGAAGAAGGAATGGATGATCTTATGGAAATAATTGGGGATGAATCAAAATCTTGACGCGGCTAAAGCTTCAATGGGAACCGATATATCTGAATTAGATATGATAAATATAAAATGGTTTGCGGATAGAGTAATTTAATTGACTAATTATCTAAAACAAATGTATAAATATTTATTGTCAAAGATGCAAAAAATTGCACCAAACTTATCCGCATTGATTGGAGAAGTTGTTGCTGCCAGGCTGATTGCTCATGCCGGAAGCTTAACGAATCTTTCGAAATATCCTGCTTCAACTGTGCAGATCCTTGGTGCAGAAAAGCTTTTTTTAGGTATAAATTACATTGCATTTGAACAATAAATCTGTTACACTTCAAAATAACATAATCGATAATATACATGTATCAGAGCTCTAAAGGAAATACACTAAAATATGGTCTATTATATCTTTTATCGATCAGGCGGAAGCTAAGAATAAAGGCGGAATTTCTCGATTCTTAGCAGAATTGATTGTTTTATTGGTATTAAAATAACATGCATATTTTTTTTTTAAAAAAAATTTTTTTTAAAGACCACATTTACATAATTCTAATGTAATAAAGATAAACCGACGTCCAAGTACGGTATAGCACTGAAAAACCAAGTTGAAGAGAGATTAGGATTTTACGAACATGGCACAGCGGTTTCAAAGAATATGGAAGTGATTAATAAAGTGATTAAAGAGCTTAAAGAAGAAGGTTTGTTAATGGATATCGATGCTGAATAACAAAGCGAGGAAGAAGTGGAAGAAGAATCAACGAGAAAGCGTAAAACTTCACCAGGATTACCGATAACACCGTCAAAGAAACATAAAAATTCGAAATCAAATGAGAGTTCCGAACCAGATAAAGAGACTGATATATCAAAATCACCTATAAAAAAGAAAAAGAAGAAGGTCGGGATTGAAAAGAATGACGATAGTTCAAAATCCGACAAAAAAGATAAAAAGTTTCATTTGTCCTTCAAATACCTTCGGAACTGATCAAGTGACACCGAAATCTGGTAAGAAAAGTGAGGAGGAGACGCCTTTCAAAGGTACACCAGACAGTCGGACACCAATCAAAGGTTCTTTAGAAATAAGAAGGAAGGTAAAAAGGAAGAGGAAACACCTCATCGGACAAGAAGAAGAAAGATAAGAAGAAAGAGGAGACATCTGTCAAAGGTTCACCAGAAAAAAGAAAAAAACTAAGAACCCAAAGTTTCATCAGAAAAGAAGAAAGAAAAGAAAGGTTCAGAAAGTCCTACTCAAGTTACTGACAAGAAAAAGGAAAAGAAAAGCAAAGAATCACCAAAAAAGAATAAGCATTCAATTGATGTTGAATCACCCAATAATTAGGATGTGATGATTATAAATAATATCAAGTTGTCACATGAACGTTCGCAAGTCACAAAAAATTATTGGACCAAAGAAATGTACACCAAGTAAACAATAAACAAACAAGAAAATGTAACCATTGTTTTTGGTTTTTTTTTTTGTTTTCAAAAAGAATACCGAAAAGGTTTGGTTAAAACAATTCTCGATTATCACAATTTGAAAAAAGGTGACATAATTAATAATTAATAAATAAATAACGAGTTTTATTGACTTGAAAGGGATATGATTCGTGCATTTGAAACGTAATGTTTAAATGTGTAATAAATATATTTTGAGCTTTATAAACTTATTTTTGATATTCATGCGTAAATAAATGCTAGTCGGCGGAGGAGCTTAAAAACTAGAGGTGCTGAAAACTAAGGTAATGTAAGCAAACGCATCATAGGAACCATTTATGATTCAGTGACTCATTTTATTGGTATATATAAAGTATTTTACTCAAACGGGTTTCAATGAAATTTTTTTATGCCGTTCTATTATTTATATAAACTTGCAATTTTGGTTTTTGTTCTTTTTGTTCTTTGTTCTTTTTTGAAAGAAAAAAGATTTATATAGACATATAATTACCTTTATAACTCCCAAAATAAAAGTTTAACAGTTTTTATTTTTATTTTTCAAAAGAAAAAATATATACATAGTTTTGCATTAAATTAACTCAATACATCTTACTATTTATATAAAACACGCGTTTTTTTCACACACTGCATTGAAAATTTATTTTCAAAATTATTATATATTTTTATAATAAAGTTTCACTCAGCATAAAAATAAATTAAATAATAAAATTACATAAAATTCTCCACTCAGTATTTTCTTTTTCTTTTTTTCATTTCAATTTTTTTTTTACTAGAAAAAATATATATATATATATCGATGGCTGTATGTAATATACTAAACAATGGTATATCGGCCGTTTCTTCTGTGAAATATTTAATCACAAATGGAAAATGGGATTCATCATACCGTACGCTTTTATTTTATCTTATTTTTTTTTTTTTTTGATTTTCCTGTTTCAAAATAGTTGTCTTTTTTGTAACCTTTTTTTTTGATTCGATAACTTTTTATGTAGGACCTACACTTGCAAATCCGAATTGTAAGGTAATTTAAACCTAAAGACGATAATTTATTTTATAGTATTTTTTTTTTTTTTTTTTTTAAAAAAAAAAATTATATACTGTATATATATATATATATTATTATTACACATTTATTTCGCGTTAGATTCATATTCCCGGATGGACTACGCAAATAGGATTATTTGGATTAGATCAATATATTTCATATCAAATAGTTTGTAGGGTAAGTGAATTTTTAGGTACCGATTGCTGAACTGATAAGATGACACATTTAATTCATTATCTTTCACGTTTAAATAGTTTTGGACAGGAGACGGTTACTTAAATAAACTTATCATATATAAAAGATACACAGATTTCTATAAACTGCATCAAAAACTTTTAAGAAAATATGGTTGTAGATTTGTACCTCCCCTACCACCAAAACAATCCGAAGGTACGATAAAAGATTTTAAACTAGAATTTTTCTATAAAGAAAAATTTTTTTTTAATAATTATTTTTTATAAAAATATTTAGGAAGATTTAAAGAAGAATTTATTGAAGTGAGAAGATTAGGATTAGAAGTTTATCTTGAGTGGTTAACAAGGTTTTATTATGAAGATTTAATTACATTTTTAGGTGGAATCAAAAAGGTGAGTCGGCTAATTTTTTTAATTAAATAAATTTATATTATATATTTTTTTATTTTTTCTTAAAAAAATGTCCTGAAATTCGTAGGGAATTAAAGTACAAACGGATGGAGACGAACATATAATTCATTATAAATATAGAATGGCATTTAGGAGATATAACAATGAAAAATTATTAAAAAGTTGTTTAACGAGTAGTTCTAGACGTTATAAAACTTTTAAAGTACATTTTTCAACGGACGTTTTAAATAATGAAAAGGCTTCTAAAAATCAAAATAACTTACAATTTATAACAAAAAATTCTGATATCATTGCTTATTATATGTGAGTGATATTTATTAAAACGAAGAAAACATTTCGTATTTTTTTTTTTTAACCTGTAAAAAAAGTAAAAGCTGTAAATTACCAAATGACCATGAAGTTTATTGGTCTAGATTTATTTAGATTCTTCACACATTTTTTTTTTCTAAAATTCAAGATATTAGCAATACTGTATTAACGTTAATTGTGATATTTTATTATTAATATCCTTAATATACAATTTTCTTAAATCATATAATTAAAAAGGTATTTAGATAATAATATGATTGAATACTAATAACTTAATTAAAAGTTGATATTATCAAACTACTAATAATAAAACAAAGATGTAAAAGAGATGCAATTAGAACAGATAAATAAAATATCAAATAAATAGAAAGATTATGTATTAATAAGAAAAAATATATTAAATATCAAAAATTTAATATAATTATTAAAAAATCAAATAAAAATCAATAAAAATAATAAAATTTTAGAATTATAAAACTATATAAAAAATTATAAATGTTTTAAATATATATAAAGATGACACCTTATATTCTTTTTATAAATTTGCAATATTATGAAATTTATTATTTAATTGCATATATAAATTTGCAATATTGTAACATTTATTAATTATATATAAAAACTTATATTAATATAAAATTTATTGACTAATTATATAATCATTAGAAATAATTCTTTTTATTTAAGTTACTTTATTATGACAAATAAATTTCTTATCATTAGACTTTATAACCTTAGGGAATCTTATATCCTATAGGCAGTGATATATATTTTCTATGTTTCAAGCATTTTAAAACTGTCTCATATTATATCCCAAACTGTCCTACATTAAGTCCTAATGTTTCAGACCATATCCTAATAATGTTCTATAATAACACTACCTATAGGTATCTAGAATTTTTTGGAATTACTTTACTTAAATTTACTTAATTATATAAATTTAGAAATTTGAGGATTTAATAAGCTTAGAGGTTTTATTTATTTTTAGTAATGAATTCAAAAGTAAGTAGTTTACAATCAAATCCTAGATGAAAGCAAGGTTGCTAAAGAAATTAGAGGATTTTTTCAAATGCTAAAATGATAAAATTTTAATGAAACTATATTAAAATCTTATAATTACTTATGTTAAACTTATGCAAAATGCTAAAATAATGAAACTTTATAGTAAATGCTAAAACTGGTAAAACTATAATAAAACTATATTAAATTTTTATTAAATTTTGCTAAAACTAATTGTAGAATTTTAAATAGATTTAGGATAACATTCTTATATAAGAAATACATAAAAGAAAAATTATTATGTTTAAAGTTAATTTCTTTATTTATTGCTTGAAATTCATAAAAGAGTTAATATACAATTTGAACAAAAGTTATTCTATTTATACAAATTAATTTGTTAACTAAACTTTATACTATAATTTAAATTTATAATTACAAGTATTAATATATAAAAAATCATAGATATAATAAATATATTAAATATAATATATATAAGTAAGAAATAATTATAACAAATTTAATAAATATAAGAAAAATAATAAAAATAACAAATAATAAAAATTAGTAAAATCAGAAATATCAGATATATCAGATATATAAGACTGATTTACAAGATCAGAAAATCAGAAATTTTATTGTTGATTATTCAGCATAGTATAGGCAAACTTATTACATTATCATTCTATAGATCACTGATGATAGATCAATTTCTAATATTAACAATATATATAAGTTTATAATTTATTTAATTTATAATATTTTATATATAATATATAAATATTTTATTATTAAATATATTAAAATTATATATTTATTATATTTTATATTTATTTTAATAGAAATAATTGAAATAACTTATATTTTAATATATAATACTATAATAATATTAATTTTTAATAAATAAAATTAAGTATTATAAAATAAAATTTTAATGTTTTTGTATTTAAACTATTTAATTAAATTAATTATTATAAATTAATCAATTAATTATAATATAATCAAATAAATTAATATAAATTATTACTATGACAAAAAAAGGATTTGGTGACAAAATTCCAAATAGTGTTCAGTAAGTTTTCTGACCACCTACAAATCCATTTTAGCTATATGAATCAATTATTGAATTTAAGCCTTTAACACGATTTGACTCAAATCTAGATAATAATATAGAACTTGGCTAGGAATTGGCCTGTCTGATATCAAAAATTACACTATTTGATATAACCATTCTAACCTAATTTTAATCCCAAATAATATATCAAAAAAATTTTACTATTATGTTTGCCTCAGGAGGAACAATTGAAAATCAAGAATCAAAGTGACGCAATTTGAGCTAAGCCTGATATTGCAAATCCAATATGAATAATAACTTTTATGTTATTCTGCTTGCCTCTGGAGAGGTTATCAAAATTTAAGGAACAAAGTGATGCGATTTGAGCTGGACCTGATCATGCAAGCCTAAAATGTATATTATATGCTAAGTCTAACATCAAAAAGGTTATATTTAGCTGTTATCTAGTTTGTAAATTAAAAGCTTAATGATTATATTCTAGCATGTTAACAATTTATCAATATATAGGAAACCATTCTAAAGCTATTTCATTTATACAATTCTAGGACAAAAAAATTATACAATTTGTCTACTTATATGTTAAATCTAACTGCAAAAAAAAAGTCTAACATTTTGACTAACTATATAATAAATCTAGCTTTTACTAAAAGTCTAACCTCTTGAATACTTATTAAACATCAGAACCTTATCCCAAAATCCATTAACATATTGAACTATATAATAGCCTCTAGTATGAAGACAATAATAAACACAAGATGACCCAGTAGGCTTACCACATTCTGATTCCATACAAGGCTGGTACCTTTTAATCTAATTTCTCATAACTTCAAAAAAAATAGAAAAAGGTAATTGAATATTAGGGTTATATGAATAATTATTTTAAATTGAGAAAAGTTCACATATATATTAGATGTTAGACTTATTATGGTATCATGGTTAGAAAAGATAAAAAAAATTGTAAATGTATTTACTGTAATAAGACTTTATCACACCTCAAAAACTTCATCAGCATTACAAAAGTAATAAAAATCAAAGTAGATTAGCTCCTGATAATATACCAAAGTAAGCTTTAGCTTCTGAGACTTCTAGTCAAAAGAAGAAGCCAAAAGTGATTAACCAAACTTCTGATTCTAAAGCAGGTTCAGATTCATTAACTCAAGCATATAGAGAAGATACATAAGAACCTAATGTGATTGATATGTCTGACATTTCTGATATTTCTGACATATGATATATCTATGATCAACATATTAGACATAGTTGATAAATTAGACATATTTGACACATTAGTCATATATAAAGATAGTTCCCATAATTATTTTTAAAATTTTTAACTAGTTGCAACTTAAGTTACAACACTTTGAGTTGCAACTATTTATAAATTTTTATATTAAAATAAATTTACAAGGAGTTGCAATTTATTGAGTTGTAACTTCTTAATTATGGTATCAATCTTTAGTCATATATATGATATATTAGACATATATAATATATTAGTTTTATTTTTCTATACAATATATTTTATATAAATTGATAGCTTTTTAGATAATATAAAAAGTAGGATTTGACAAGTAGTTTTAGAGGTAACTGATCTACTGCATTCTCACTTTAGTTTTTAATATATCATTTTTTTATTTTCTTTTTTTATTTGTCATTTCTTTGTTTTTTTTTATCTTTTATCTTCTTATCTTGTGAATAAATCTTTTTATTTTGAATTATAATTACCTGATAATCTTTAGAATATTGTGAATTAAATAATTGTACTAATATCTCTTGGAAATCAGTCTTAAGTAAACTTGTAAAAATATTAAAGATTGCTACAGTCAACCCTTGATATAACGAATTTTATGTCCTGAACTTCAACTTCGCTATAGAGCTATAGTGAATTTTTTAAAGAATTTGATTGGCTAGTTCGTTATAACGAGGGTAAATTTAATATAGTTGTCCAAAAAATTCGTTATATAAAAATTCGCTATAGAGAGGTATGACTGTATATAATTAAAAAGAATAAATACTCAAACACCTTGTTTAACAATTTTAACAATTGTAATTTGTAAGAATTATGCATTAATAGTATTAGCTAATTCAAATTTTATATAATTGTGTATATATTCTTATAAAATTTAAACATTAGAAAGAAATATTAACTTTTTAGATTTATAATAATATATTTTTCTTGATTTTTGATAAGTTGCCTTAATTATTTTCTTTGCAATTTAAAGTATATTTTTAATTTATCAATCATTATTAGATTTAACTTTATCTTATAATTTTTCTATTTTTTGATACATATCATTATGAATCTAAGCATTACAAATAATATTGTAAATCTATTCAAATTCATAAAGCTATTTGAAATGCATCTGCTATCTTCCTTTAAGCTAAAATATTAGCAGGAATTTATAGTAGAGAGTTTATTAAATAAATTGTTAAAGGTAAATGTAAAGAATTTGATTTTTTTTATAGATACAGAATGGGATTGTATGTTATATAGATTAAGTTATATTATTAATATCATTAACACTCTTTTCTTAATATTATTCTACTCATTTATAACTTCTTGACAAAATAATAATATGGTTGGAATATAATTACACATTTTTACTATAACATATACACAAACTCTTGATATTTATTAATTACTAATCATATATAGGCTTTTATGCCTAAAAAATGGAAAAAATATCAGTGTTTAATATAAACTATTTAATCATCGGATATATGAAATTATATCACGTGACTATATATTACCTGGACATTAATTATTACCAACCATTTTCGATATCATTATATTATAAAAATGTCCTTCCACGTGAACGAATTTAAAAAAATCAAAATGATACTGATTAGCGCTCCATAATCGTGACTTGTGACACTTTTTGACTCGATTATTTCATTTATATAAAGATCAAAAAAAAAAATTATTTTTTTTTTCCTGATTATCTCTCTCATGATCGATTATTTAGTAATGATAACAAAATTACAACCATCAACTGCACTATCAATAATGAATAAATATATAGTAAATAATACTACAAAGTTAATTCAAAGAAAAGAATTCAAATGCTTTTTATGTAATAAACAATACCGAGAATTTTTTAATGCAAAAGAGGAAAAGAAATATAATTATTCTCATTTTGATAATGGTAAAAGTAGATTTACATCATCATCAAAATTATTCACGTTAACGACGACTTCAGTACCAACAAATATAACGACGACGACGACATCAATAACAACCCCAACAACGATCACTCCAACCACAATTAAGTCACCTTCACCTACAACGACAACAGCAATAGCAATGACAAAAGATATAAATCAAATCGAGCAAATTGAAATATCCTTCAAAAACCTTCAACGATTGGTTGAAGATCAGAAAGTTGAATTAAAAGATATAGAAACATTTCCCGAATTAACAAACTTATTAATTAAACAATTAATAGAATTAGAAATTAATAATGGAATGAAATCAATCATGTGGATATATGATAGATTTGGTGATGACAGTGATTATAATGTATTAACGCACGAATCAAAAGGTTTAATCATTCGAGAATTATTAAAGTACAAACAAAGGGAAAAGGCGGTAATGATAATGCAAAAGTTATTAAATGATGATAATTATACACCCGAATCTTCATTAATTAATGAGTTGATTGATAACCTCGGTCGTAGATCTAGTAAGTTAGATTGGATTGAAACCCTATTTGATACAATAATAAAAAAGGAAATACATGAAATAGATTACAGTAAAATCTATAGAAAACTTTTGGAAATAGAAACTACAGCTCTAAATATGGATAAAGCTGTAAAATATTTTAACGAAATGAAAGAAAAGAAGGGAATTGAACCTAATGAAATCAATTACCTTTTTTTAATTAGTGGATATTCTAATATGAACATGATGGATAAAGCTGAGGAATATTTTAATTTAATGATCGAAGATAACAAGATAACACCAACTATTGAAATCTTTACAACTTTAATTAATCATCATTTAAGATTATTAAACATAGAAAGATCAGAACAATTATTTAAAACAATGAAATCTTATAATATTCATCCAAATATTATAACTTATAACGCGATTATAAACAATTCTGTTATTAAATTTGACATGGAAACAGCGGAAAAGTTTTTTAATGAAGTAATTGAATCGGATATTCAACCGGATGTCGCAACATTTTCAACTTTGCTAAAAGGATACCTTAATGCTGGAGATACTGTTAGAGCTTTACAAATTAACGAAATGATGCGAAAGTACGGAATCATACCGAATCGAACTTATATTACACTCTTGATGAAGGTTTATATTCAAAACAAAGATTTAGAACAGGCCGAAAAGGTGTACACTACAATGCTTGAACAACCCACGACTTCAGGATCTTCATCATCTTCATCTTCTCAAGTAGCAAATTCTGATTTAATTAAATCCAACATTAAAAGCTTAACGTTTCATTTAAAAAATTTATTGCAAGAGGCAAGAGATAAAGATTATGCATATGAATTATACAAGAATTATTTGGAAAAGTTTGATAATTATGAATTGAAGTATACTCCTGATACGTACTTTTTTACCATATTTATTTCTTCATTTGCTCAACAATTCCTTGATGTTGGTTTGGCCGTTGAATTATTTGAAGAAATGAATCGTCGTGAGATTAAGCCTTCAATCGTTACTTATACTATATTAATTGATGGTTTTGCTTTAAAAGGCCGAGCTGATGAGGCTGTGGAATACTTTGAAAGAATGAAAAAAGATTCTATCGAACCTAACATTTATACCTATACAAGCCTGATCAAAGCTTGGGTTCAAGTGCGTAGGATAGATAAAGTGAAAGAAGTTTATAATGAGATGGTTAGTAAAAACATTAAACCTGTTAGCGCTACCTTGAGGGCTTTACAAAAGATTCGATTAGATACACAAGGAGATTTAATTGATAAAACTCCAAACTCACAAAAAGAAGCTCATTATTGGGGTGGTAAATTATGGGTATCAAAAGACATTGAAACAGTCGATAGATTATTTCAAAGTTTCTTATTAACCATGTCAAATTCTTTTTCCACTCATGATGATTATAAACCTCATGTTAAAACTTTTCGTTACTTTATTAATTGTTATTTATTTAAATATGAAAATTTGACTAAAGCTTTACAAGTTCTTCAAGAAATGGTAAAATTGAATATTAAACCCGATTATATAACTTATTGTTGTTTTATTAAAGGTTTTTGTATGCTAGGTCAAGTTGAAAAATCACATTCTATATTAGAAATCATGAAAAGTCAAAATATCAATCCTAATGATTATATTTATATTAATTTAATAAAAGGTTGGAAAAAAATTCGAAGAAAAGATAAATGTGAAGAATTGCATAAAGCATTAATGAAAATTAAACGAGAGAAGGGAGAATATTAAATTAAAGATCTTTCTTAATTTGTACAAAAATGGATATATTAAATTAAGATCTTCCGCGTCAGAATTTCTTCTAAATATAAAGGATTTCTGAAAGCATATAAACTCGCTATTTATTCTCTATTATAAATAAAAACTATTATTACAAAAGAAAGATAATAATAATTTAATACCAATTACGTTTGACATCCAAAAATTTGATAAATCTAATCCTATTCCCAAATTTTCAAAAACTCCCAAGAGTAAAAAATAATTTACAACTGTACATATCTGTGGATTCAAATAAAAATATTTAATTAATTTTAGAAAGTTTTTTGTTATTTTAAAAAATTTTTTAAAAAAAGAATAAATTACATACGTGGCATCTATTTGAGTTAATTGAGGTAAAAGAGTTTTGATTTTTAGTCTATATGTCGCGTGATTATCCGCTTGCATTGGATTTCCTTCCAGATAAACCGTAGTCAACTTTTTAAGATGGCCCATTTGCACTGATAATTCTTCGAAATTTGTCAATTGATTATTACTGGCCTTAAAATAAGAAAAAGAAAAAATGTTAAGTCAATTAAAGTTTTGTTATCAACTTTCAAAGCATCATAAATATCTACCCAAATTTCTTCTAATTCCGTCAAATGAGATATATCTTCAATTTTTCTTATAAGATTGTTGCTAATATCAATGACTCTCAATTTCAACTATAAAATATAGAATTTTGTTATTAAAATCCATGAAAAAAAAAATTAGATAAATAAAAGATACAAACATTCTTTTCAAACCCTTCAAGTTTTTGGATACCATTATGACTCAAATAAATTTCCTCCAAGTTAACTAAACCCTCTAATCCCTTTAATTGAGTCAAACGGTTACTTTGTATACTAAGAATCTTAAGATTCCTTAAGCTATTCAAATTCTATAAAGGAGATGCGTTATAAATTTCAACCATTTACGAAATGATATATAACAAAATTAAAGAATTGGTACAAACATGTAATTCTGCAATCTTATTCTTACCAAGCCATAATTGTTCCAATTTAACAAGTTTATCCAAATTTTCAATAACCTAACAAAAGTTTTCGTAATTAATAAATAAATATAAATATATATATATTCTTAATAAAAACAAAAAGATTCAAGAAAAGCGACATACATACTCTAATTCTATTTGCACCCAATTCTAAATTAGTTAAATTTACCAAAGTGTCCAAATTTTGAATCTTAGATATTTTATTTTGAACGAAATAAAGATCCGTTAATTTAATTAAACTTCCAACATTTTCAATAACTCGAATTTTATTAAAAGACAAATCCAATGAACTATTCATTCATACGGAAAAAAATTAGTGATGGTATCCAAAAAAAAACTTTTCAATATGCAAATCTCATTACATTTAATATTTACTCTAATTCAGTCAATTTATCTAAATTTTCTATATATGATATTCGATTATCATAAAAATCAAGTTCTTTAATGTTCGTTAAATTATCAAGTCCTTCAATTTTAATAATAAGGTTTTGTCGAAGACATAATCTCTTTATAATTAGAAATAAAAATGAAGTAAATTATCTAATTCATGTTAATTCTACAATGAAAGGATATAAAATTACCTGTAGTTTTGGAAACCTTTCAAGTCTTAGACTTGGGATATTATTTAAACGCAAATGTAATAATTCAATTTCCTAAATTATAGAATGAAAACTTAAAACTTGACCATGGATGACAAATCAGTATAAAAACGATTCTTACCTCAGTATCTTCCTCATATTCTCCAAGAAGATCAACTAAATAATTTTCATGGTTAATAACTTGGTAACATTATTTTTAAAAAATATTATTTACACAAATCATCACCTTCTTCCTCATTATTGTCATTGGAAGCATGGGCAATCTCACTTTCTTCTTCACTATTATCAGAAATATAAGTTTCTATTGTGGCTTGCTTAGACATTTTTAATATTATATCTTAAAATCAAAAAGAAAGCATCATGATAAAAATAAACAAAATTTATTTGAAATTTTTTGCCAGAATCACGATGATTACGATAATATGTCACCCAATGGAATTTGCAACATCCAACCATTTAAATTTGAGAAAATCATATGGTTTTAACCATCTATTTTTATTGGTGAAATTATATAACTCAGTAACACATAACGATCAAAATTTTTATTACATGTGATTTGCAACTGGTAGAAAAGTCTGCGTAAAAAATAAGCGAAACATTCAAACTTACCATAATTTATATCATCCAATCAAATAAACTCGTATAATCCGCAAAGTAATATAATAAGTTATGTTGGTTTTATTGCTCTGCTAGCTTCTTGAAACATGTCATCACGATGTTAATCGATTTTCCCGGCTCTATAGATGTTCCAAAACAAAACGAACATATTGCTCTTCTTGTTATATATCGGCATTTTGATCTTCGCCGAGAAAATCTTTGACCATCATCACGTGTATAATAGGCGCAGTTTCATAAAATAATTCCGATATTATCTTATCTAATCGACTCCACGTTCACTATCAGCACAGTAAAATTTATGATAAGCATCTTCATGTGCAGAATTCTCGATACTTGGCGCAGTATTGTACTGCTGATAAAAAAATTAAGCGTTAAATTTCTTAAAATGAAATGTTCTGAAAATGAATCGTAGTGGTAAGTGTGATCAGAAGTATTGCTTATTATTTTCTCAATTGCTAATCTTCCGAATTTATACTGTAGGTTCGAAATTACTTTATCTCAGGAAAGTTCTCTTGTGGGAAATAATCTTTTATATATTCTATGGGGATGATGGTGTTATAGATAGACGAAAATTCTGTAGACATGTGTGGGATAATTTATTTCGGAAATCTACTGTAATGTGAGAATCTCGTAGTTAGCAATAGAGATAGAAGAGATAGAAAGAAATAAAACAATTAGTTATAGAAATTACTCGAGAGCAAAGAAATAACTTGATGCTGGGACTCGCATTAAATGGCCAAGGATCCGCGTACTCCCTCCCCTCCCCTCCCTCTTTGATAGCATCATATATTTCGCTTGCTTTTCCAGCATTTTTTCATTCTCAAAAAAATCAATAAAGTTTCGACGGTGTTTCGATTTATTATATTTTAACATGTATGATGTACAGCAATATAAAGTCATATTATTTATTATATGATATAATATACACGATGACTCGAATTTTATAATAATTTCTTATCAATATAAGTTTAATCAGATTTAAGATAGCTTAATAAAAGTTAATTTTAAACCATATATAAATCTCTCCAGAAAATCGTTTTTTTCATTTTTTACTTTTTTTACTTGGCTCAAAATAAAAAAATGTCAAATCCTATCTTTACGGAAATTTACAATCTTCCTTTCAACAGTGATGAAAAAACTAAGCTACGCATTTTCTTTACTGACCAAGACGCAACTAAAGTGGAGAAAGTTCTTTCAACAATCACAGAAGATAAAGAAAAAGTTGACTACTTGAGGGGATATGTAAAATTAAGAGGTAAAGCCTTTGATTGGTCATGACGGTCTTGTCCAGTAGATAACTTTGCCGAAAGCCTTTGCGTCGTAATGATTGGTCAGCTAGAACGTGACGCTTATCTAAACCTTTTTTGTCCATTTTACGTGCCTAGGCAAATCTGCGAAAAAAGAAGTCATTGAATTCTGGAAAAATCTTAATAGGGCGGAAATCATTTTCCTACTAAACGAATCATTGGACTCTGAATATCTCAAATACTTTGAAATCAAAAAAGAACAAGATTTAGAGTTCAACCTGCGACCTGGAATATCCACTAAAAATAATACATACGCCTTTAAGAAAAAAGATGTTGTTCTTGATATGGAAGTATGGTCAGATGTATCCAATGACCTTATAGGAATTTTATGTTTACCGGATAATGTTTTTTTTCTGGGAGTCGAAGGATTAGGGTCATTCCTCCTTATTCGAAACTGCTATAAAAAACTCGTTAAGATGTTTGATCGTGATATATCTAAATTTGGATGTGTTATTACAGGTACACCCGGCATAGGAAAAACGTATTTTGGGCTGTATCTTCTATATCGTATTCGTTTATGTCATCCAGATGCCACGATTGTCTGGCAATTAGCCAATTCGGATACTCACCAATGCTATCAATTTATGCCAGACGGTAAAGTTCTAGTTGGAGGCATAGCACAATTTTATGATGCACTTTCGAACAAGAACAACTATTACATTGTAGATGCTCAGAAACCTGAGCAAAGTAGCGCATATGTTATTCTGTTGACGTCTCCGAAAGCAGAGTTATACAACTCCTTATGGAAGTCAGAAGGTATTACCAAGTACTACATGCCGATCTGGAACGATGAAGAAATAATTACACTATGGAACGTCCGTTATAAGGAAATGAGGGGCGAAAATGGAGATACATTTACATATGAAAAACTTGAGATGTTGATGGGAAGATGGGGTTTAATACCTCGAATTCTTAAAAAGTGGAAAGATGAGTTATATAGCGAAACAGAGTTTGATAAACTGATCGATGAAGTTGATCTTATGAAGTGTTTAAAGTCTGTCAACGAGAAAGGAATGTCAAAGGACTCTGCAAGTGGCAGACTTATTCATATTATTGTAGAACCAAACTTTAGAAAATACAAATTTTGTTTTGCTTC